TTGCCTATCCCTCCACTACACATCGATCTCAACAATGGCGAAAATGCTTCCGCCAACTCCACGTTCTTCCCCATACCTACCACTACCATAACTTTCTTTCCCCCAATTCAGTTTACGTCAAACTCCACTTCAACCCGGAACCACCCCATCGCTGTTACCACCAGCATGGCCACTTCTACGTCGGCTCCACAGCCATTGGCATCCCACACAGAGAACACAACCGCCGTGCTAAACTCAAACAACTCCAGAACAACATCCCAATTTCGGCAGAACTATCCTTACGCTATTGGCACTCTCACAACAACATTCACCACTACACCACCATTCAGCTTACATCCCATGACACTTACGATCACGCCTGGATCCAGGAACACCATCATATTGCCAACTGGATGCCCACACTCAACTGGCCGTTCATTTCACACCACCTCAAATTGAAAGCTCAGGGATGGCAATTCACAAAACACCGAGCACACTTTTACTCCAGGCTGGCCACCCACAAACGTCTCTTTCGACGACTACGGCAACGCCAACACACCATCCGAGAACCACACCTTTACACTTCCACCAAACATCACGCTCTCACACTCCTTCGCAACCTCACCAAACACACAGCCGCCTCTTTCGAAGCAGCCAAACAACTGCGAAGCGGCCGCCATACCGACCTCGAAGTCTACGCCATCCGGCGCATGGCCGCCAATCTCGAAGAACCAGGCCGCAGTAGGGCTCTCCACATCATCAACAAAGCCCTTCTTTACCGCAATCTCACACCACCCAAACCGAACATCCCACTTACAGTGCCTTTCCTAGTGCACGATGATTTTACCAAACACTGCCAACAGTGGCTCCGCACCACCATTCAACAACACAAACATTTGGCCATTCCCCTCCACCTCCCCTCGCATCGCCTACGTGAAGCAGCTCACAAGACCCTGCGATCCCAACACCGTACCTGGGAGGACACTCTCCATTCACCACCAGATCCATTCGCAATCTACTGCAGGATCCGGACACACCCACCACCAATGGCCACTACATTCTTACACTGGACCACCTCCCACCACACCTCAACATCTTCCTCAACGCCAACATGAACAGTACATACTATCCCAGCAAGGCTCGCTACTTCCTCACTTTCCAAACAGCCTACACGAAATGGCTCAAGCTTCAAGGGCTACCACCATCCCTTGTACAGCATTTGCAACCTTTCCTCGAGCACCAATGGCGCCTCCACAACGCCCATCTCAAACAACAACCGTTTTACCGCTCGATTACTCCGTCAACTCCAGGAGTACCTCGGCCCACACACGGTCCTTCACCATGCTGACCACGAACTACAACAGCTCCGGATGTTCTGCCCCCGCCAATACTTCACCGGTGCCTTAAACACGTGGCAATCCCCTGAACTTTTTGAACCACTTCCCTACCTTACAGTCGCCAACATCCATGACCATCTTAAAGCCACTGTTCCACCTATCCTTCGCACCCGCTACAAGTGGGGCTTCCGCAAGGATTTCTGGTCCACCTCAAGGAGAAAAAGCAGTGGCAAAAAGGCCGCACAATTATCTCCTACTTCCACTCACTCAGTGGCAACCTCCTCCGCATCACCAGCCGAGCTCTCGACATCATACTCCAACACCTTTACCCCCAGCATCCCGGGCAACTCTCCACCCCACAACTCTGGCGCCACTTCCACAGCTACCTCGCCCAAACCCCAGCCCGACATCTCCCTGTATGCTACCAACGACGATTCTTCAACTCGGTTCCCCAACATCGACTCATCGACGCAGTCCACTCTTTGGTTCACCACTGGCAACAACAGCAATCCACACACACCCTCACGGTGGATATTCAAGCCACAGGCAACCCCTTCCACCACTCCCACATCGGCAGACACCAGCGAAAGCACCCCACACAACGTACCATACAGACATCCGACATCACCACCATTAAGCTTATGCGCTCAACACCTGTATTTTCCGGGCTCGCAACAACACCTACAAACAAATCCGAGGAGCTGGGATTGGCTCCCAACTCTCTCCAGCCCTATGCAATGTCGCCATCGCACTCATTGAACACTCCTGGCACCAGATCCACAACAACTTGCTTCAACACACTGACCTACACTTTGCATACTACCGCTATGTGGACAACCGTTACGGACAACCGTTTCATTGTTCACAACGAACACTTCCTCCACCACCCAGCCATGCAAACCCTCATCCACCACAACTTCTTTGGAGACCCAGTGGAACTTGAACCTGTCGACGACTTTCACCTCCTGGGCTTCAACATTGACCTACAACAACGTACCATCACCGACATACAACCCTCACAACCCTGGAAAATCAGGGATTCCACCACCGCCGGGAGCCAGCGCTTGGCTCTGTCAGGCCTCCAATCCAGACTTCACACTATATTCACAATTAAATACACTTTTCCACCCTCAAGCGCTGAAGCTGCTGCCGCCGAACTAGTGAGGCTCTATGTCCAAAAAGGACACAACCACAAAGCCTGCCACCGCTTTTTGAAAAAAGCGCCGATGACGGCGACCTGTGCGTGTCAACCCCTGGGCCAAGGGTTCACTACCGCCACCTCACCTACCGCAATTTTAACCACAGTTTCACCCGCAGGGGGCATGGCAGCTGTTTCCCTAGCCATGCCAACGAAGCTATGGGATTCAGCCGGAAGGGAATGTGGATGCACATTCCTGTACCTGCAACGAGAACGGTTTTTCAAGCTGTCCAATTTGATCGGCTTGCTTTCATGGTCCTTCATGCTACCACCCTCAAACAGGTTTATCAGCCACTTTCAGCAGCCGCGTTTTTTTGCAGCTTGTCGCCGCAGTTGTGCACAAACCACTTGTTAAAACATCTTCAATTGATCGGACTCCTCACCTTACCGTTGAGCCATTCCTTTCCTCGGGGAATTGAGTTAACTGAATACAATTGTCAGAGTGTGCGTTCGGACTTTGCAGGAAAGCCCTCTTCATGATTCACAAACACGCCCGCATGCGTGTCATAGAATCCGTAAAGCAAACATGTGCTGCAAAGTTTTCTTGAATCGTTTTTTCATGTTCAAAGTTACCGTTTGTTCTCTTGAAAAGGTGTGATTTTTCAACGTTTGCGCTCGACTACTCACGTGTCCTTGGGGTTGTGGTTCTCTATGGTTCTCTAATAGGTTTCAACTTTGCCCTGCACACGGTATAGACAAGGAGTACCTTTAAAGGGGGCTCATCAGGAACCATTGAAAGTTTTAACATTCGAGAAAAGTGTGGCCGGCCTTTCGACAAAACTGCGACGGTTGGCACGCCTTGTTTTTTTGATGTTTTTGGGTTACGGTTACGGTTCGACTTTTTGGAAAATTTTTGGACTTTAAAGATGCCATTTAAAAAAAAAAACATAGGAGATGTCAAGGATTCAGAAGGTATCACTGGTCGAATCTTTTCGGCACTTCGAGCTCTGAGGTGAGAACCATTGACTCTTCGACTCAATAATATCTCCTTTCCCAGTCAAGCCGATTGCCACAGTGCGATCCAAGCCGAATGTGCCTTGTATGTGCCCTGTGTGTTCAAGTCACTGTTGAATGTTGCGAGGTGTCCTCCGACATCCTCCGATCGTCCCGCTCCCATCTGCCTTCAGCACGAAATTCAACCTCGAACTGTAGCGTGCTGTATTTTCATGTACTTTCCTGGAAGTTTATTCTCTACAGTTGGCGCTCTACATCCCATCCAATTTATATACCTTGCTTATTCCAACTGTATTGGATCGTTTGCAACTGTTCCATTCACATCTTGCGTAGGTTCAAACAGCAGACAATAAACGTGCAAGAATGCAATGTGTTCCTTCACCCACAGATCCCACCCACCCCACCAGCTCACCAAAGTGCTTGGGTGCATTGGAACAATTCGCACTTTTGATCGCCAGGTGGCCGAAATCAAGCGTGCGGTGTTCCGTGCGCTGACTCGGCTGCGGGCGGCAACCATCAAGGCAACTGCACACCTCCATGAACATAGCTGAGCCCAATGCCACTGCTTGAGCTGGAATGCTTCAGAAAGGGCAAGACAGCAACAATAAAAGCTGAATCAATCCAGACGAATCTGTCAAGAGGAGGTTTGTCTAGGAGGAACAAGACGGAGCAATTCCAGCAAAGAGTTTGGGTGCCTGCAGGTTTGAGGGTCAAATGAGTTGCATCTTTCAGGAGTTTGACACCATCGCGCGCTTGGAGACATCCTCTATTGATGCCTACAATGACGCTCATCACTATCGTCTCATAGCTGCATGCAATTGCTATCAATTGCTTGACAATATGGAAGAAGTAAAAAACCCATAAGTTAGACCTGTGCTACCCTATCGAAAGCCTCGGCACCAGCATAAGTCGCCTGAGATTTAGTTTAAGAACTTGTTTGGTGGATTTCTGCGTTTGGAATGGGGTCTAGGAATCAACTCGGTTTGAAACCGCGCATTTAGAATCATTTATATAGATACGATACTTGTATACCGTATGCCAGTTGATACTAATTGAAACTTATTCGACAAGACACAGAGGGCTTCCAACAGCACTTCATGAAAACCACTAGATGAGTTCACCCATGTTGACCGTGCAAACCTTGCATGCAGCGCCTGCCTTTGTGCCGCCATTGTTCAAGAACACCGTGAGCCATCAAGGTCGCGAGAACCCATTGAGCCATTTGCATGAGGATGAGGCACCGGTGCAAACGGACAAGCTGACGCGATGAGCTCAGACAGAGAGAGAGAGAGAGAGTGAGTGAGTGTTTTGAGAGAGAGAGTGGGGGAGAGGAAAGAGACATGTTTTATATTGTTTTATTACAAATATGGTTTCTTTAATCTAGCTTTGGAAACTCCACAGTTCAGTGCCACTATCGCTTGCGTCATCACGTGGAAGGTCTCGGCATTTTCTCACGATGAATTGTATGGAGATGTGTAAGTCAGAAAAGCCATTCCTCAAATTGGTGCCGCTCGTGGAATCCTCAATCTCAGGTCATTTCACTGAGCGCGAAGAAATCTTTGCAGCTTCGTATAGGGCCTCCATTGAGAGACAACAGATATGTCCAAGCTAGTTTTCAGGCTGTATTTAATTTTGTTCACCTGGTTTGAAGTGGGAGCACACCGTTGGATGGCCAGTTACGGAACAACTTGTGCAAGTGGCGCCGGAAAATGGGTGCGTTCAGGTGGAGGTGGGATGGAGGGAGGGAGAGGGAGAGGGAGAGAGAGAGAGAGATAGAGATGAGGGACAGGAAATGACAGGAATGGCGATGAGGATGAAGATGTGTCCTTGGTTGTTGAGGCTATACATGAATAGGACCCTGAGGTCCAAAGGTGCTAGCAGTTGGTATCGATTGTCTCACCAAATACTCCACTTGAGTGAGACGATGTTTGTAGCGATTTGCGCTCTCAGAGTTGGGCCGTTGCCTTTGAGAAAAACAAGGTCGGCTGTCGCGGGGCGGTCAGTCGGCAGTCAGTTACGGCATGGAGGGCCACACAGCATAATTTTGTAAAATGTCCCTTGCTGCCCTTGTCCTTGTTTGTCCACCAGGTCTATGTCGACAGATCAAACAAATGGAGTGCCTGTACCAGCGGAGGCGGCTTGTTCTTTGCGATCATTCTTACGTTGGAAGCCATAGTTTGCGGCACTAATGGAATGTCGAATAAGGCCGGAAGGACCATCAACAAATGACTTGTTCTGATTGCCCTTTGGATTAAATATATACAGGGAGTATCAGTATGGCAGCTGCTACCGTTGATTAGATATTAAATATTCTTTTGTTGCTCATGCAGAATCAATGGAACGTTTGCCACTGTTGCAGGCGAGAGATGGAGAGCAACTTGTTTGCTTTAGACAGTAAGGTTTCGGTTCGGTTGGAATCGGTTTGAATGTTTAATTGAAAAATCGAATCGGTTCGGTTTGGTTGTAGAAGTATTTGTTCACGGACTTTCGGTTCGGTTCACGGTTCGTTTCGGTTCTGTGAGGTATAAGTTTCGCAGTGGGGTAAAGAAAAGAAAGGCAATGATAAAGGGACAAGACAAGACTAGACTATAGACTATAGACTATAGACAAGACAGTACAGGACAGGAGAAAAAGGGAAAATGGAAAGCAAAAGGAAAGGAAAGGAAAGTAACTAGAAAAAAAAAGGAAGGGAAAGCAAAGAAAGGGAATAGAAAAGGAAAAGCAAGGGGAAGGAATGCAATTTGTGAATATGCTTTTTCCAGGCCTTCCAAAAAGCATATTGGAAAGGAAAGCCAGGAAAAGGAAAAGGAAGGAAAGGAAAGCAAAGCAATGGACAGGAAAAGGAAAAGGACAGGTAAGGTAATATGCTTTTTCCTGGCAGTCGAAAAAACATATTGGAAAGGAAAGGACAAGGAAAGGAAAGGACAATGTCAGGGAAAGCAAAGGAACGGAAAAGGAAATGGACATGGACAGGTAGGAATGCAATTCGTGACTAAGAAAAATATTGGAAAGGAAAGCATTTTATGAATGCGCCTGAAGCCGGGCCGGGCCAGTGACATGCTGTATGGACATTCCAGTGGGGCACTGCTGCTCTGAAACTCAAGACTTTGGACAGTCTGAAAAAACGTCACAGCGGAACAGAGCGGAACGGTTCGTTTTTCTTATCGGTTCGGTTGTGTTTGGAAAATTGGCGGTTTTAATGATTCGGCTGATTTCGGTTCTTGACATTCGCTGACTTTCGGTTCCGAAAGTTCGGCTCCGAATGATTCGGGACCCTTTTTTTAAGAAAAACTTGACAGGCAACCGAGAATCCCTATAGCCCTGTACAAGTATTTTTAGCGCCGTTTGCTTTGCATACTGTTTAAGTATTCTATGCTATTCTAGTACATTCTAGTACAATCTATTACACTGCACTGCTTCACCCCTCAGGCAGCAAGGCTCCTTTGTGGTCTTCGGGCGTTCCTTGGGACCGTCGCCGATCTCTGACCCAGCAGCTTGTCGGTAACAACTGAACCGTCAGCTTTGGCGATGGCCACTGCAAGGAAGGCATTCCAATTGCTTATGAATGATTCCGAAAGGTGGTGTTTGGCGTGGTCGCACAATGAAAAAGAACGTATCATATGTTCGCCTTCTTCTTGAGTCAATATGCAGGAACGGGATGGTGTCGAAGTTATTGGTTTCACTGTTTCACTACCTGCTTTTCGGGTCAGATTTGCCTTGGATGTGCAATTTCAGTACGCAAGGGGCCTTGTATACGCTTGTGTCCATGCCAGCATTGCTTACATGGACACTAATGCTTGGACCTTGAAGTGGTTGCGTGAGTTGGTTCCCAGAAGTCCGCTGAAAAGCACGACGCTTCTTGATGCTACACCTCAGATAGGGGTCCGTACTGAGCGGATAAAATTGAGGACGTCAGTGGACGATATCTGTGTGCCAGCCTGCCAGCAACCTAACCAGGGGGTCAATCCCTCAAAAAAATCCACCCAAGTGAGGAGTGGATATTTTTTTGGGGGGGGGCATGATTTGAGGGTCAGTGCATTAAAATTATCCATAGTTGATGTATATACTTTATTTCCTAGAATTTTATCCAACCAGTAGTGGGAGTAGAAAAGGAAAGAAAAGATAGAAAAGATACAGATTAGAGAGAAGAACAAAAGAAATTGAATAGCGAAGAACATAAAGAAAACAAAAGACGTTTGCAATAATCCTTAGCAAAAGAAAGAACCTTGATGAAAAACCATTGCTCGCATGCCAGCGGAGCATATAAAGTGACACCGCCTGGGAACAGCTTTATGCTTTTGGTATCTTCATCCAGCCCACAGTTTTGCTTCAAGGATGCCGTCAACGTTCTCCAAGCCATTGCACGGCTTGTTCTTTTGGCGGGCATGCCTTCGAGCTGCCTGATGATTGCAGAATCACGCTCCCCTTGCTGTTGCCAATTGAGAGGTTTCCGGTGAGAAGCCAATGTCCAGAAGTCTTTTCTGCCCTTCCACGGATGCGGTAGCCATTGTGAATCGGCCTCCTCAAATTGGACAGAAGAACCCACAGCGGGCCCAAAGCAGGCTCAATGTCTTTCATCTTTGTGTCTCCAAGGCGGACTCGCTTTGCCGCAAATCATGTGTCCTGATTTCATGTGTCTTCGTCGTGACCAGCAAAGCACCCAAAGGACGGATCACCAGGCTCTGAAAACAAACCAAGAGAAAGCACTGAGATATGTGCAAACACATCTGAATTTTGCAAGCACATCTGCTTTCCCGGAGCCGTTTCGTCGATCATCGTCTAGCTTGCTAACCTCAGGCCTTCCTAAAGTTACTTATACTCTCGACTAATGACAAAGGAGTTGTAAAACGTATGGTGGGTTTTACAATTCCTATGTCATGGACTTTAAAGTAGAGAAACACATCAACACATGGTCACACAAGAATAGCTTTAAAAAAAAAAAAAACAGAAGGCTGCCGGAAAAGATGAATAAATGACGTGAGATAGGAGTTGTAAGTACCAGGAGGCATGATGAAACATGATGAGCAGGCCGATTCTTATGTCATTTGTTCTGTGTGCATCAATTCCCCCCCCTCCCTGAAAAAAATAGAACTGCTTGATCATCAGCTGGCGACAATTCCCAAGTCATGAGGCTTGAATCAGCAACTCTGCAATTGTTGTGTTCCCAATGACTTAGGAGTAGTGGGCCACAACTACTATGTCACTGGCCCACACAAGTCCTAAGTCACCGGTCGGTAGTATATTTGCATTGGTCAGGGACTCCTTTTTTGGCCTTGTCTTGAACCTCTAGCCTTCACCTGAGCCAGGGTCAGTCCTAGGAAAAAATCCTGTACTGACCCTGGGTCCCAGTACGTACAACCGGGTATACCTCAGAGAACTTATACATTGTACAGTAAAGTTGTTCATTATTGTTCAATAGTTTGTTTCATTTTTGTAAGATTCACCACGACCAAATTTTGATTGCAGCGTCATGACCGTCAAGAAATATCTTGAATATTCAATGCTCAAACAACTGAATCGGAGAGACTGATGGGTAACAACTTGCAAGCAGTGAGTGTCCATGTCTCAGATGAATTGCAGGCCTATGCACACTATGTGAACTCTCCCTGCGTTGATTTGGCGAGAGAATATGAGCAGCTTGGATGATGACAAGAGGCCCCATGCACTTGATTCATCCTTCTTGGTTGATGAGCTGGTTTTCCTTGCGCGGCTTCAGTCCTGTCCATCAATTACTTAGCCACAGGTATCCTGACACTCACAGTGGACTTGGGATTTGTGCAGTGATTATGGTGGCAAGCCGCTTGGCCTGACTCGGTGGCTTTGCCTGTGGGGGAATCCATGATGCATTGTTCTCACATAAAGATGTTGAGGTTTGGAAGTTGGTGGGGTAACCAACAGTAGCAACAAGATCAACAAGCAGCCGCCTTTCAGGCTGCACAACCAGTCACCAGGTATGACACGATGGCGCAAGTGGATAGGAATTGATATGAATGGATACCAGGAGTTCCATTGAACTGGTTTGAGTCGAGGTTTTGCCATCATGTTCTTCATTGCAGACCCTGTCCTGATCAAGAAGAATGTCGTGTTTCGAGCTGAGAGGTGGACATGGTGGACCTTTAGAGCCACACCAACGTGTCCCGAGGAACAAGAAGCTACTAGTAGCAAGGACGCTACTAGAAGCGCCGCCCTCCACAGCCCTGAGGTTTGCTCTTTTGACCGTCATCGTGTCGCTAGCAGGCTGTTGTGGTTGTGCCTCGCCTGCTTTGGCTGTCAGGCTTATGTTGTCGGTTTGCGTTTCAGGTCGCTGCTCCACGCTGACACGAAGCATACACTCTGACTGACATGGGACGGTAAAACTCAGTGTGACAGGAGTTGGAGTAGTCGGTATATCTCAGTATCTCAGTGCTATTGGAGGCCATCGCTAGTAGGTTGGACATCGCTAGGTTGGAGTATATCTCAATGACTTCAGGCTGCTTTGTTTGCATCTCTAACTCCACGTGGTTCTGTGTTCGAGATGCTGCACCTGCACAGCCCATCTCTCGTACGGAGTTGCGGCATTTGTGCCTTGGCAATAAACGAATGGTATTGAAAAACAAAGTAAGACGCAAATGGTTGAATATATAGGGACGAAGGTTGCTTCCAGAGGCAAGACTGATGGCACTTTGATACTATGATACTTGGGCGCCAGAGCAGTCAGTTTCAGTT